CAACCTAGACGTAGACTAGAGTAGCAAGAGCCTGCAGCTTCTCTGTTCTACTCTTCTGTTGTCACCACTGGGCCCTCTCTTTTTACCTGGAAGCCTGGGGTACCCTGTCCCTAAAAAAAAACTGTAAGAAGTGCATTTGGACTAAATTCATCTAAAATGCTAGAGGCTAAAGAGATGGTCACCTTTGAGGCAAGGAACATTAACAGGGAGGGGACACAGAGGAGGTTTCTCCAGTGATAGAAGTGTTCTTTATCTAAGTGATAGATACATTATGCATATGTGAAAATGCATTGAGCCCAACTGTTAGGCTGGGTACACTTACTGTACATGTTTAAGTTATACTTCAATTAACAACAATGACAAGAAAGGTCCAGGAGAAAGAAAACCCAACAAGGAACATATGAAAAGGAAAGGGCAAGGAGCTATTTCTTTTAAGATTTGATAAAGAGAAGGTATGCCTGAAAATTATACAATGTAAACATGTTAGAATGCATGTACCTTATAGCATCTTACTACACTGATGGACAGTGACTGTAATGGGCTATGTGGTGGGGACTTGATAATGGGGGGAGTCTAGTAACCACAATGTTGCTCATGTGATTGTATATTAATGATACCAAAAACAAAAAAAGAATGCATATACTTGCACCAAAGAGCTCAGCTTGCAAAGACTAATAGATTCTCCTGGAGTCCATGTCAGTGGCCCTCCATGATCCCTATGAAGCAAATAGCTTTCGCTTCCCAAGAAGGGGAACCACCCCTGCCCTGTCCCATCCTAGGTCTCACTGATCCCCACCAGGGACGTCTAACAGGAATGAGATGGATTTGGTTGTACCATTCCCAAACCCCAGCTTAGACCCAGGAGACCTGAACAGCAGGGTTTCTTTCCCCTAGCTCTCTCCCAGTCTCTCACTCATCCTGGGGTCAAGGGGCTCCCTACCAGTAGCCTCAACACGCTTCTCTCTCACTGCCTGGCTTTGTGTAGTAGGAAACATTCTTCACTGAGTCCCTTATTTATTAGTTCATGCATTCATTCAGCAAACATTTATTATTTATTATTTAGTATCTACTGTGTTCTAGGCTTCACTTTATGGGTGAAGGCTGTAACAATATATGAGACAGACAAGATCCTTATTCTCTTGGAGCTTATTTCCTGGTGGAGAAAATGGACTAAATGAAAAAACAATCAAACAATTATGTAATAGTTATAAGTGCTATGATATAAAGAAAACCAGGGCATGTGATATTGACTGGGGTGGGGTGGGGGGCACTGAGAAGGTGTGGTTGTTTGCCTACGCAAATAAGAATGCCAAAGACCTGGAAAAGTCTTCAAAGAGCTCAAGGTTATTAAGTGCAATGGAGTCTTGACAGCAAACTGGCATTCACTTCCCCTTTCTCCTGAACAATCCACTTATCAAGTGTCCCATGTGTCTCAGGGAAGGCTGAGTGATTCTGCTTCAGTGCTTGACCCTGATTAATATCACCCAGTCACAGCGATGCCATCCCTTGCCAGTGATTGGTCTAAGGATCTGGGACTGAGCCAATCAGCACATAGTATTTTCCTGTCACTAGGGACTGATTGGTTCAGGAATGGGCACAGGATCCAGTCTGAGACAGTGAGATGTGCAGGGAATTTTCTGGAAATGTCTGGAAGTTTTGGTCTGTTTCTCTTACCAGATGTGAACAAGTAGGCAAGCCAGTGCAGTTCTTGGCAGCTGACCTATGGTCATGAAGGAGATACTCCTGAGGAAATCTGATCCCCAGGAGAGTGAGTTTCGAGAAGGAAATTATCCAGTGCTTGAGGACATCAGTGAACCCCTGAGCCAACCCATCTTGAAAGCCTGCTTTCCAGTGCTCAGCATTCCTGGGCAAGCCACAGCTTCTGTTTATGTACAGAGCAGCCCTCAGTCGGTAATGGGTTACTACCTCAGCTTTCTTGCCCCCTGCTTGAGACATCTCTGAGCATCCGCTCTGACACAGAAGGTTTCTCCGTGTACACTGAGCTGTGAATGACAGCAAGAAGCTATCTGTTAGAACAGCTTTCCCAGCTGAGGCACTAGGTCGATGCAGATCCTAACGTGGGACTTATTTTGGTGTATTTCCAAATCAGGAGAAAGAGGGGCACCTATGGCTGGGGCCCTGGTGAGCTGACAGGTGAAGTTCGAGTTGCTCGCGGTTTGGTCTTGAACAAGTTAACCCTTTGGGTCTTAGGTTCGTCATCCTAAAATAGGCTTAATAAACGTACCCACATGACAGAATTAAAATGAAAATCAAATAAGCTCATGCATGTGAAATGTTTGCCACAGTCCCCGGCCCAGAGTAGTTATTCTGTCTAGATTGGGGTTGCTGGCCTAATGTTCAGTTTGCCTTGGGTTTTACATCATTTCAGGATCATTGTCAGAATGCATAGAATAAAATCATACCCAGCTGAACCTTGGGACAACAGCGTGCAAACTACCACTGGTGAACCTTGAGGAACCATAACTAAGCATTCTATACAGAGAGATGATCTGGATCCATTTAGAGCTCCAATTACCCCCGAGTTTCTCTCCTTGCCAGGAAATGTAGAGGCATACCATAAAAGCTTGCAGACTGGACCATCTGTGCAAGGTACTGGTCAGTGTATCCTCTGAGCAAGAGCTCATTGCCTCCCCTGCAGCAGCATCTGCTGCAAACTATCAAAAGATAATCAGTCAATATCCATAAAGATTGTGGCCCACAATAAGCGCTTTGGCCAATTTGTCCATCAAATAAAATTAAAACCAACTGCAGACATGTTATTGAGAAAAACTGGAAGTGCTAATACGGTTCCACTGGAACACGCATAATTAATTGTCTGATGGGCCTTGACACATGCATTGGGGGCTGTATTTGAAGACCATGCACTCTAATGGATATTATTACTTCAGGAAAGATTCTGAAGTAGCCCTTCTGTTAAGGGCCATCAAAGATACTACTGCCTCTTTAGGTTAAGTTCAGCTTCCAAGGAAGCGACTGGAAAATTGCATATGCTCATTACAGAGATGTCTATGTGCAATGGTTGCAGAGGTTTCCTGTGAGAGTGAGCAGTCTCACCCGGAATGCTTTCAGCAGCAGCACTGTGCTATCAGGAGTTCACAAGGAAAGCCATTGGATTTAATAATGTGTATTTGCTTACAATAACAAAGACCAGGAAAATGTATTTCGACTCACCTGTCAGTGGTGATATTTCCTTTAGAGCTCCCTGTCAGAGTAGCCTAATAAAATAATAGAAAATTGCTAAGTAATATTTATCTAGGGCAAGTAATATTTTTCTGACCTCTAGTAAGCTGTTAAAGTAATCAAACCTCTCCACGTTTCATCAAAAGCAATTTAGTGACCATTTCTGTCTACCATCATATACTAATTTTCTTTAATTATGTGCTATTAAAAATAAAATGAAGAGCTAGAGAAGGATTCAATTCCTAGCTCTGCCACTTACTCATTCTTTGACCTTATTAATAATAAGAGTAAAAATGACAGTTAACATTTATGGCGGCTTGCCAGTTCCCAAGCATTATGCTTAGCACTTAACTTATACTCATCTCATTTAATATTTGCAAAAAGCCTTTGGGAGCGAGGTATACTATCGTTTCCTTTTCATAGCTGAGAAATAGAGACTTTAAAAAGGTTAAGATATTTGCTCAGGGTCATACTCTTGGTAGATGACTTGGTTGCACTTCCAACGTGAACTGCCTGGCTGGAGGATCTGTATATTCTGATATACCTCCTCTGGGGCCTAATTTCCATGTCTGTATTTGTCTTCCTCTCCTAGGTAACTGGGGAGACCTGAGCTTGGCCCAGACTGAGTTTTGAGATTTGGCATGGGAGTGAGGGGACCTGGCTGCCAGCAGAAGGCATGGAGCAAGTGTGCCTGGCACCAGGGCTCTAGGCCATGGGAGGGCAGGGCAGAAAGCAAGGGGGATGTCTGAAATGCCCACTCCCAGTCGGGGGATCCCAGGTGAAGGATCAGCAGCAGAGAACCTGCAAGATTGAACAAGAGAGTTTGGGAGGCAGACTGGAAAGGCTGCCAGAGGTTGAAGTAAGGAGCAATTATTAGAGGATGTTCAGGGTAAAGGATGTTGGTGAGCAGAGCTGCAAAGGTTGCCAAGTACATTCCTGCCATCTGTGAAGCAGGTCATGACAATGTCTCTCTTACATGGATCTCATGAAGAGTCAGTCAAATAGCTTAGGTGCAGTCACTTTGCAAACTTTAAAGTGAGAATTTTTATTACGAAATCTTGTCTCTGTGGTGCACGTAGGGTAGAAGTGAATCTGTGCATCGGTCTTTCCCTCACAGCAGCCTGGGCTATGGGTTTCTGACCTAGGACACCTCAGTTGCATTGAGATCCAGGAGGGAAATAAGATCATTCTGGAAAAGAAAGAGAGGAGGTAACTTTCCCCTTGGTCATGTGTTCTGAAGGGAGAATATTGAAGTGTATCAGGAGAAGAACCACACCCACTGCAAACTAATGCTCTAATGTTATGTTTTCTAGGTGATAACATGTGGTATGTTGACAGATTGGACCCTGTGTTGAAAATACATATGGTTTTTCTTTTGTAGCTGTGGTTCTTCATCAGTTAATGTTAAAGGGAGTCCCCAGGATTCGTGACTGTTGTATCCTGAGCAGGACAGCCTGGCAGGGAGCTTCAGGCTGCACTCTGCTGCCATCAAGGAGGAGACCTTGGTGGAATTTAGCACCCCCAGTCAGTTGAGTGCAGCCTGGAGAGGCTCAGGGAGGGTCATGAGGTCAGATAGAACACACTATGCGGTTTCTATTCCACCCTGGCAGCCCAGGGAGCTAGAATTAGCAGCAAAGGGAGGCAGCTGGTTTCACATGAGCGGCTACAGGGAAGGCAACCAGCAGTGTGATAAGGCGGGTGCCCGATCTGGCTGGTAGCAGAACGGAGAGGGGAGTGGTCAGAGGCTCAGCTGTTCCCTGGCACAGAGGCCTGGCAAACAAGGCAGAGGCAGAAAGCTGGAGGCTTTGCAGCCTTGCTGATGCTGGGAAGAAGCTGTGAAAAGACATTTCTCTGTGGGGAATGCCCTTGGCTCCCACTGCATACCATTCACTTCAGGCCTGAGTAGGAGACAGACATTGACATCACCCAGTCCTCTGCAGTGTAACCTGCTGGGAGGATTCCAAGGACCTTCAAGAGAAGTAGGTGAACCCGGTCGTGTGGGGTAAACACTAAGCTGGAGTAAGTCTTACCTTCTTCTGGGATGAATAAGCAGGAAAACACAGGAAGAGCTAAGGAGAACTGGAGAACACACATTTTACACCTTTCAGGATGTAGAGAAAAAAAAGATGAAGAGTTAGAAATCGGCCAAATGGATAGCTTAGGAGAAGAAGGTAGTGATTAAACAGAAATAATGGAGGTTTCTAAAAAAGGAGCCCAGAGCAAAAGGACAAGCATGAGACTCAAATATAACAGAAGAAAAACTTGCGTGAGTGATGGGAGGCCTGAGTATGTACATAGAAATGGCTAACGCAGTATCTGCCTATGCTAATGAAAACATATCCAGACATATCCTGGTAGATTTTAAATTTCAAATACTTCCAAAACATTTAAAGAGAAAATCAGGTGGCCTACAGAGGTGGGGGAGGATCATATTCCCCTCTACAATACTAAAGTTTAGGAAAGCATGGATTATAGGTACAAAGATTTGGTATAAGAATTTTATTACAGCAGATACATAGATGTGTGTGTGTATACATTATGTATATAGTATATATACATATATATATAATGTGCACACACACATTTTATGTGTGTGTGTGTGTATATATATGTCCATTACTAAAAAGATAAACCAAATAGCTACCAAAGGAAGTTCCCTGAAAATAATGACTCAAAGGTGAACTCTAGCTGACCTAGAGATACGGAACGGAACCCAGTGGGAAAATCATTGTATTAAAGGGTTTGCCCTAAGTGCAAGATATACATAAATTAAATTTAAAGAAGCATTATAAATATGGTTCTAAGCTGAAGGATATCATCAATAAAAATATTTGAAAGAAACATACCTAACAGTAAGTTTGTCAGGGTATATTATGTATGTTTGTCCAAAGTACTTGACACATACATAGTGCATACTTCATAAATATTTGCTGGGTGCTTATAGGACCCTTACCATGCATGTACAAATAAGTTGGAGATATGGAGATGGTCAGTACTTAGGGGAAGCTGAGTCATTTCCTCCTTCCCCTGGGTAAAGCAGAAAATTCAGGATGTTAAATAGTGGAACTCTCTGTTCCCTTCATGCCTAAGGAACACATTTTTTGTTATTGCAAAGTGGAAGTCAAGTTTATTATTTCCATGTGGTGATGATGATTATAAGCTCAAAGGGACTTGTCAGATTGTCTGAGCAAATAACTTGGATGATGCAATGAGGAAGTAGGTTGGGTCCTCTGAGAGCAGACAGGTACCTTTTGACATGTAACACACAGTACTCCCATGTGATGAGCCTAAAGGGTAATGTGTCTTTCCTGGTTTCTAACTGTCAGCTATGAAATCTGACTCAGAAATGCCATATTCTCCCTGCATGTCCACATTTGTGTGATTCACTCTCTCTTAATTTTTCTCTTTTTTCTCCTGGAATGACATGATTCATTGAATTAAATTAGTCAGGTTTTAATTTATAGAGAATTGATTGCAAATTGATTCATAACCATGATTCATTCTTTCAAGATGACTACATAACAGTGAGTCAGAGAGTTGGCGTTTACAGGTATTAGCATCTGAAACTCACGGAGGGCTGTTTCCCCAACTAGAAGCAGGCCACTCTGAGATTGTGGGGACTTAGTTGGACAATAGAGACAGGTTTTCTGTTATAAACAGAATCACAGTTGTCTGACTGTAGCCACTGTAGACTGAGGGGAAGCTAGTGAGGATGATTTGCATAGCTTGTCCCAGAAGCTCTTAAATGAATGACATCGGTTCTGTACTAGGGATTAATACCAAGAGTGACCCAGGACATTCTAGACAGGAAATTTTACTCTGGAGATGACTGATTCCAGATTCAATAGATCACAAGCCCTACTGGTTATAGGATTTCTACCTTTGGCTTTATTGTTATTCACACATATTGGATCATCTTTTAGATAATATGAAATTGTTCTGGATTTGGGAGTGAAGTCTCGAGAAAGTCTTTATCTTTGTTCTAGGAAATAAACTTCAGGAAGTATAAAGGGTGCACGATTTAACTCCAACTTGAATTTGACCTTGGCTCAAAATAAGTATGGCAATGAGATGGGGACTTCCTGGGAGTTTCTTTGCCCTGCTCTAAATGTGTCAGAGGTGTACAGCCCAAGTTCTTTGTCCTCTGTTGTCTATTATATCCAGAGAACATTTAATTCTCTGAAAAAGGCTAAGGCTGGATTATTTTTGCCTGTGGATTATCTACTTTGTGAATTATCAGGGTAGATTTTAGACTACTTTTCCTGAATATAAACCTCTGTTAGGAAATGCATACTCATTTCAATATTAATATAACATCAGTAGAACTGTGAATTGGCTGCAATACACATAGGTTATAAATACATATAGTGTTTCAAAGTCAAATAAAAATATCTTTATATTATCCATTCTTTATTGTCAGTGCCTTAATTAAGTGAATAATTTCAACTTTATTACTATTGCCTAATAGATAAAATCAGCACAAAGGCATGAAATGAAATAATCCTTTAAAAAGTATTTTAAACAACAAGATTTATATTGCTAAAATCTGTGTGATTTTCTCAATAATCCTGATTTATTATATTTTTAATGTTACTATGACCCAAGAGTTGGCAGAGTACTCTCATCAATATATATTTTTACATATAAAAAGTATATGTCTTTGAAATATCACCTGGTTTTATTCTCTTATTTTGGTTGATATATTTTTTATTGAAGGATAGTTGATATACTGTATTGCATTGGTTTCAAATATACAACATAGTGATTCAACAATTGTCTATGTTATTAAATCCTCTACTACTAGAGTGGTTACTGTTAAAATAGAAAGAAGTTACAGAGCTATTGACTATCTTCTCTCTGCTGTACTTCCATCCCCGTGACTAATTTATATCATGAATGAAATTTTGTGCCTCTTTATCCCCTTCACCTATTCACCCACCCACCCACTCCCTCTCCCATGGTAACCACGAGTCACTCTCAGGGTCTATGAGTCCTCGGACTGGTTCAGTCACATTATTATCCAAAGGGCCTGATTTATCATGTATTCCCTGTCGTATTGTCAGTAGAGTTCATGCCATTGCAGGACTGCTAAAAGGAAAAACGGTAGTTTAGGACTGTGGCTTTCAAGTTCATTCATTCATTCCTTTTATTTGTTCTTTCATTCAGTACAAGGGAGGGAGAAAAGAGTATCTATTTAATATATATTAAAATTGTATATATCAAGTATGTTAAAATTATATACATATATATGTATACAGACATACACATACATACACACACATGTACAATCTTCTAAGGGACATTAAACCTGCCAGCTCACTTGGGAGGTACATTAGGGTGCTTGGTAGGGGCAGGGGAAGGGGGAACTCATATTCAAAAGGTTAGGAGAGCAGATTCAATGCAGGAAAATGAGTGCACATGGGGAGAAGTGGGCAAGGGAATAATTTTGGGGGTGTGGGAGCTGAGGGAGAGACCAGAAAGGCTTGGGGTGGCTTCCCAGGTCCAGGAGCCGCTATGAGTCTGGAGGAAGGATCTGAGGAAGTGTTGCTGTCCATCTGCGTTGGACCCCCGTCAGTATTCTGGAGGAGATACCACCAGGGCTGGTATGCCCCTGTTTCTGTGGCTGGGCAGTTTCCCAGGATGGGAGCCTCCACAGAGACTGCACGGGCCCACGCAGCCATGGCGGTCACACATGCTCTCTGCGGTCAGGCTCACCATGCTAGTGCGGCCGGCAGGAGTCAGTAGCTACCAAACTATCATTCATTCATTCATTCATCATCCATCAACTACTTTTTTTTTATTTTTTAAGTGCCTACAGTTTGACAGGCACTATTTTAGGTTCTCAAGATTCTGACTCATCAGTAAAACAGACAATATTATTCCTGCCTGAGGTGTCTTTATAATGTATCACCCTATCCCAGGAGGAACTGCATTCCCCAGAATTTCTTTCTCTAGGTCAGGGAGGGCTACAGGGACTATTTGCATGAGATCAGAAAGGCAGGGGCTAGCTGTAGCTATCAGCGCGGAAGGTGTGCACGGTCTCTGGGCACTGGCGCAGCTCCTGCTCGTTGGGGCTGGTTGGTGGGATGGCTTCTCTGCATGCTGGTGACCTGCAGGTCCCGCTGGATCTCCTCCGCCTGCTTTTTGGAAGATTCTCCACAGAGTTGAGCCTAGAGTCAGTGAGCACCAGGTGGAGGTTCCATTTTGTCTGCCATTGTCTGCACGACGTCCACTTTGTCCCTTCCCTTGTGCACGTCTGGGGCCCCTGCCTGGATGCAGTTGCCACAGCCCCCCGGCCGCGCCTCCTGCTCCCCACTAGGCCTAAAAACAGATCCCTGCGATTAACCCCTGTTCTCTCTCTCCTAGTGGTTCTGCTGCTCTGACGGATTCCTGACAGATACGCTGTGAGTGTGCAATTTACATTTGAGACGGACAGTAAACAGCTTAATAAATAAGTAAATTGTAAAGTATGTTTAACAGTGAAAGAAAATTAGAGGAGGGAATTAGGGAGAGAGTAAGGAGATCTGGGGTGCCATCAGGGTGGAGATGGGGAGGTAGGTGCTGTCCTGGTGGGCCTCACTGGGAAGGGAAGATTTGAACACAGGCTTGAAGGAGATGAGGGACTAGCTGAAGGAAGAGCTTCACGGGCAGAGGAAATGGAACACACTCTTCAAGGAGGCCAATGTGACTGGAAAGGAGAGAGCAGGGAGGACAGGGAGGTACCAGGCCAGAACTGTAAAGGGTTTGATCTGCAAGCAGGGATTGGCAAACACACTTGCAGACCAAATCTGTTTTAGTACATCAAGTCTTATTGGCACACAGCCATGCTCGTTCATTTACACCTCATCTATGGCTGCTTTCTGGCTACCATAGCAGTGGAGAAGCTGTGACAGAGACCATATGGCCTGCACAGCCTGAAATGTTTGCTAAAAAAGTTTGCTGACCCCTGGTGTAGAGCCTTTACTTGGAATAAAAGGGGAGCCATCTCAGAGTTTTGAGCAGAGGAGGGCTATTCTCTGATTTATCTCATGGAAGAATTATTACTCCTGCTGCTTTTGTGCTGAGAACAGATTGCAGGGGGCAAGGGCAGAAGCAGGGAGAAGCATTAGGAAGTTATCACAGCCAACAGGGGATGGTGGTGGCGTGGACTAGAGAGGCAGCAGGGCAGGTGGTGGGAGCTGGTCAGATTCTGCTTATCTTTTGAAGGTTGAGCCAAACTGACAGATTGGATTTGGAGTGTGAGAAAACAGAAGACTCAACAAATAATCACAACCCATCTTATGTGTTAGTATGAAGGGTTTCCTTAGAGGCTCTTCAAGGGCCGGGGGGATAGGAGCCATGCCAATCTCCCCACCCAACTAGAGCAGGTCTGTTTTGGTCATTTTGTGTATTGGCTTCCTGCTAGTACTGTTCTCAACCTTGGCTGCATGTTGGAATCATCTGGGGGGAGCTTTAGAAGGTACTGATGCCTAGGCTCCACCCCCAAAATTCTTAATTAGTTGGTTTGGGTTTTGAGCACTAGGATTTATAAAAGCTCCCCGGATGATTCTTCTGTCAGCCAGTTGAGAACCATTGCTCTAACATTTCCTTTGAACAAACTTCCTGTGCCTTCACATGATGGATAAGGGCTAGGCTGAGATCTAGAAATTTGTGGTGGAATTGTCTGTTTTATTTTTATCTTCCCAATGCTCAGCACCTTATAACACCTCCTTCATATCCATTGAAGGAATTTCTTCTCCACTTTGTTTACAGCGTTCATGGTACCTGTGTCCCCACCATCAAGGGACCTTCCTGCAGCTCTTCTCTCCCTTTATTTGGTATAGCCAGATGGCAGCTGTGTGACCTCAGCCCAGCCAGGGGGACACACTGTTGCCAGAGATGATTGCAGGTGATTTGTTGCAGCAATGGCTCAAATTAGCATTGACCTGTTCAGAAACTTCCCCTGTGAAATGAGTGCTGAGTCCTGCTCTGGCATCCTGGCTCTTGGACCTCACTTGGTTCTTTTCATCCATTTCCAAGCCTGGTGCCGAGGTCTTCTTCCCCCCATGCTGTATCATGTCTGCAAATTCCATATTGTTTAAGGTAGCTTTAGTTTGTAACTGAGAACCCTACTGGCATCCTTTGCTCTATCTGTATCATGACATTATGCTAGTCTGCTGATTTGGCAACTGTGCACTGTGATTTCTTTGTTGGAAAAGAGTGCCCTGAAAGAATAACAATCTATTAGACAGAATAGACAAATATGAGATGGTGCCAATCCTTTGGAATTTATAACCATCATTTTATAAAACTAGCATAGCTATTAATAATGACAACAATTTATTAATCATCTGCTTCCTGGAAGTACAAAAATTTGATTTAACTTTTCTGCAGATGCCATTATTTGGTTGAAAGTGCTAAGTGAGATCATCAAGCCAGTGAGATAACCAGATCTCCATCTTGGGACATGTGTTACATATCCAAGAAAGAGGAATTTGTGTCAGTTTGAGTCCTGTGGGAAGTAGACCCCAGGACAGAATAAGAAATGCAAGAGATTTAGTGGAGGAAATACCTGTGGAAGATAAAGGGCAGAGGTCACAGAGACAGAGAGAATGCTCAGACCACCCTGAAGGTCTGACACCTGTGAAAGGACAGGGCAGAGGAAGGAGGACCACAACAGAATCTCAGACGGCAATGCAGCTCTGAGAACACCTAGTAGCTTAACAGAGAGCTTCGGAGGAACGACTGTCAATTAGAGGGGTTGTGTTGGCCAGGACTGCCCAGTTCTAGCAGGTCTGCTGAGCTCAGTCATTGGCTGGAAGCAACCTGGAAGGAGAGTGGTCTCAGTGTGAACGGTGGGACAGATTTCAAAGGTGGCTAGCTAACTACAGTCCTTGCAGCAAGTCCTCTCTTGAAAGATTCGAGCAGTGTACTTCCAACAGATGTCACAGAAGACCATAAGGGGCAAGGGAGGAGGACTTTGCTTTTCAAAACTCAAACGTGACTTCCCCTGTCTGCTCTAACCATTATTCAGGACCACAAGAGGCATGAGACCTGAATAAATGAGAGGAGGCTTATTATGGTTCTTGTGTGTGCTTTTGCAAGGAGTTCTTCAGGCTGTGTTTGAGGAGGGTGAGTCATTAATTAATGCATAGTGGGAGCATAGATGGAACGGTGGTCTGTAAGGAAACAGGGAAGAGAAGGAAGGGTGGGTTTGACTGGTGAGACCCCTGAGTCCTTTGCAGGTCTGTTTTCTGGGAAGTCCTCAGGTAAGTGGCTATGAGAAGGCGATGTTGAGAGTTACAGTGTGAGTGAACATGATCTGTTGGCACAGAGGTCTGCTTCCAGCCTCTGGGTCCAGGACTCAGTCTTGGGGACCAGCAGCCCACCTTGCTTGTACTCAGAGACCTGACCTGCAAGTGCCATTCACTGCAGGGGTCTTGTTACATCCCAGCACTGCTCTGGGGCTCTCCTGAACATAATAAGATCTTCTGTGGTGTGGGGTGTGGGCTTTCTCCCCACTATCAGGAATAAATAGGAATGTCTAGCTGTGTCTTTCAGATTGAAGTTCTGTAACTTGAAAATCACTAATCTGATAATTTTAAAATGGAATGAAGAAATTCTGTTAAAGATCAGGTAACTGTTTAATAAACAATGATACTTATAAGTTTTAAAAGAGCATTGCATGCAGAGTGCATGTAAGTACTCCACAAGCTTGGAGCAGAGGAAACGGGATGCTGGAAATATTGAAAAGCAGAGAAAGGAGAATATTTATCTTCAACTCTAACACCCAAAGGCAACCAATGATAGCATTTTGAAATAGTTTTTATTGAGCTGTGATTGTTCTGTGCTTACAATATATGTATCTCCCTGTTTTAAACTTCCCTTATCCTGATAGCATTCCCTAAGTGATAAACTCCTTGTTTAACCATCTTTTAAAATAGGAGCATAACATTGAAAAAAGAGTCTTACCTAAATGAACTTCTACTTTGCCAATTTTCAGCTATGCCAGGCCTAGTATCACTACCTTCTGATTCCTTGATAAGCACTCCATGATAGCTGGGGTCAACATGATGATTTTTCTAATTTAAGATTTCACTTTCTTAGAGCTCTTTTAGATTCACATGATTTTAACATTTTGGCTGATTTCCTTAAAAAAATTTTTAATTTAAGTATTGTTGATATACAATCTTACATTGTTTTCAAATATACAACACAGTGGTTCAACAGTTACCCATATTATTAAATCCTCACCCCCTCTATTGGGGTTACTATCTGTCAACATAGGAAGATGTTACCGAATCATTGACTATATTCTCCATCCTGTACTACTGTCCCCATAACCAACTTATATTATGATGGAGAATGTTTGTGCCCCTTTACCCCTTCACCTCCCCCAACCACCTACCCCAAACCCTCCCCTGTGGTAACCACCAGTCACTTCTCAGTGTCTATGAGTCTACTGCTGTTTTGTTCATTCTGTTTTGCTTTGTTTTTATATTCCATAAGTAAGTGAAATCATATGGTATTTGTCTTTCTCTGCCTGGATTATTTTGCTGAGCGTGATACCCTCTAGGTCCGTCCATGTCACAAATGGAAGTATTTCTTTCTTTTTTGTAGCTGAATAATATTCCATTGGGTATGTACCACATCTTCCTTATCCATTCACGTATGGATGGACACTTTGGTTGCTTCCATATCTTGGCTATTGTAAATACTGCAGTGATAAACATAAGGGTGCATATGTGTTTTGAATCAGGGATTTTTTTCTTTGGGTGAATTCCTAGATGTGGAATTACTAGGTCGAATTGTATTCTTGTTTTTGTTTTTTTTGAGAAACCTCCATACTGCTTCCCACAGAGATTATACCAATTTATATCCCCATATTTTGGTTTATTCCCTTTAAATATTTTTCCATTTATACTTTTTCATATAATGCTTTTCCCATCTAATGCTATAATACAAGCCCTTGTATATGTCATGTAATTTTCTTGGAAAACATTATTTGAAATTGCTATTTAACATGCATATATCTTGCTTTGCTCAACATTTTCCTGATGGTTGGGCACTGAAGGTTTTTATGATTTTGTTTTCTAAATTCTCCTGCAATGAACATAATCATAAAGGGTGTGTGTGTGTGCCTTCATGTGCGTATGTGTGATTTTGGACAACTTTCCAAAATACTTTAGAGCTTGTTGTGGTCCGAAATTTCTTTGATGATTGCTCCTTCCTGCAAGAGGTGGCTCCCTTCCTCTTGAGTATGAAATGAATTAGTGACTCACTCCTGGTGACCAGACTGTAGCACAAGTGATAGGTGTGACTTTGGAGACTAGGCTCTGAAAAGCTGTGACCTCTTTGCTTTCTCTTGGGACACTTGCTCTGGGGAAGCAAGCTCACATGGTGTGAAGGACTGTCAAGCAGCCCTATGGGGAGGTCCATGTGGTGATCTCTGCTAACAGCCTCCTCCAGGGCCTCCATCCAACAGCCAGACAAATGAACCGTTTTGGAAGCAGATCCTGTAGCCCCAGACAAGCCTTTAGAAGAATGCAGCCCTGGCCAACCTGTTGGATATAACCTCATGAGAGACCCCCAGGTAAGCTGCTCCTGAATTCCTAACCCACAGAAACTGTGAGATAAAAATGTCTGTTGTTGGGGGTAATATTTAATGTAGCCATAGATAATTAAGATAAGGCTTCTGTTACATTCCAGTTGCCTTTTCAAAAGGTTACACAAATTTAGCCACTCATCGTAACATAGTTAACAATGGCTCTTTTGCTGTGCCCTTTTCAGTTGAATTTTTATGACTAAAGAAAAAAATCTTTGCTAATGCAGAAATAAATTATTATAAGTCCTAGTTTCTTTCATTCTGCTTAGTTTAATATCAGTGTTCAAATAATTTCAATGTTGCTTAACGAATCCTGTACGTAAAGAAACCATTAACACAAGGACTCCAGCAAAACACTGATTTAGGTCATTGCTCTTTCTTGAGAAAGGGTAAAAAAAGGGTAGAAAATATTCACATATGATTTATCATAATATTTAGGTTAAATTGATGGTTCTTTTTTATCTTGTCATGATAAAATGTTTGCTAAGAATGACAAGAAGTTTTCCATAGTCTTGAGAGTTTTTCTTTAATAAATCCAAAGACTGTTGACTTGAAACTTGAAGACTGCTAATGTTTCTTATAGGCAACTACATTTGCTAGAATTTTTCTGCTAGATAACGTTTTTTATTTAAAGTTATTTATTTATTAAAGAAGATGGCTTTGCCCTTCAATCTTGTGATAATTAGGCACTAATTGGCCATGACCTCACTAATCTGGCTACAGTGATCTCAAGTGGCTTTAAAAGTCTTGGAATAGGAGAAGTGTTTGTAAGTTTTTCCTTCTTGTATAAGTCATACACATAAAAATAATCACTGTAATATATATATATATATTTTTTGAAGAACATTATGTTTACTAGGCTCTCCCTTACCCCACATCCCCCCACAAACCCCATTACAGTCACTGTCCATCAGCATAGTAAGATGTTGTAGAATCACTACTTGTCTTCCCTGTGTTGCACAGCCCTCCCCTTTCCCCCACCACCTACATTATACATGCTAATCATAATACCCCCTTTCTTCTTCCTCACCCTTATCCATCCCTACCCTTCCATTCTCCCCAGTCTCTTTCTGTTTGGTAACTGTTAGTCCATTCTTGGCTTCTGTGATTCTACTGCTATTTTGTTCCTTCAGTTTTTCTTTTGTTCTTATACTCCACAGATGAGTGAAATCATTTGGTATTTGTCTTTCTCCGCTAGGCTTATTTCATTGAGCATAATACCCTCTAGCTCCATCCATGTTGTTGCAAATGGTAGGATTTGTTTTCTTCTTATGGCTGAATAATATTCCATTGTGTGTATGTACCACATCTTCTTTATCCATTCATCTACTGATGGACACTTAGGTTCCTTCCATTTCTTGGCTATTGTAAATAGTGATGTGACAAACATAGGGGTGCATCTGTCTTCTTCAAACTGGAGTGCTGCATCCTTAGGGTAGTGGAATTCCTGGGTCAAATGGTAAGTCTATTTTGAGCATTTTGAGGAACCTCCATATTGCTTTCCACAATGGTTGAACTAATTTACATTCCCACCAGCAGTGTCGGAGGGTTCCCCTTTCTTCGCAACCTCACCAACATTTGTTGTTGTTTGTCTTTTGGATGGTGGCCATCCTTACTGATGTGAGGTGACACCTCATTGTAGTTTTAATTTGCATTTCTCTGATAACTAGTGATGTGGAGCATCTTTTCATGTGTCTGTTGGCCATCTGAATTTCTTCTTTGGAGAACTATCTGTTCAGCTCCTCTGCCCATTTTTTAATTGGATTATTTACTTTTTGTTTGTTGAGGAGCATAAGCTCTTTATATATTTTGGATGTCAATCCTTTATTGGATCTGTCATTTACGAAAATATTCTCCCATACTATAGGGTACCTTTTTGTTCTGTTGATGGTGTTCTTTGCTGTACAGAAGCTTTTCAGCTTGATATAGTCCCATTTGTTCATTTTTGCTTTTGTTTCCCTTGCCCGGGGAGATATGTTCAAAAAGAGGTCACTCATGTTTATGTCTATGAGATTTTTGCCTATGCTTTTTTCTAAGAGTTTTATGGTTTCATGACTTACATTCAAGTCTTTGATCTATTTCGAATTTACTTTTGTGTATGGGGTTAGACAGTGATCCAGTTTCATTCTCTTACATGTAGCTGTCCAGTTTTGCCAGCACCATCTGTTGAAGAGACTGTCATTTCCCCATTGTATGTCCATGGCCCCTTTAACGAATATTAGTTGACCATATATGTTTGGGTTAATGTTTGGAGTCTCTAATCTGTTCCATTGGTCTGTGGCTCTGTTCTTGTGCCAGTACCAAATTGTCTTGATCACTGTGGCTTTGTAGTAGAGCTTGAAGTTGGGGAGTGAGATCCCCCCCACTTTATTCTTCCTTCTCAGGATTGCTTTAGCTATTTGGGGTCTTTGGTGTTTCCATAAGAATTTTTGACACTGTAATATTTTAATAGAATCATCCCTTAAACAAAAAATCTTTTTCCTGGGTTTTGTTTTCTTTTTTTTGTTTTATGACACGATGGACGATAACTAAGCTTACTGTGATCATTTCATAATATATACATAAATCAAATCATTATGCATATGCCTTAAGCTTATTATGCAGTCATATCTCAATGAAACTGGAAAAAACTCTCTGCTCCTGTCCATTGTTTTGTGCTGGACTCTTTCCCCATCTTTCTTCACAGTGCTGGCTTTGAACCATCTCCCTTGCCTCCCACCTGTGGCCTGCACACCTGGACTCTTCCTCTCTTCTATGTGTTTTGGGCTTGACAGCCATCCCAGTTCTACACACAGCCCTTCCTGACACCCCTGTTGCTTGTCACTAGTCCCTGATACTGGACCAGGGTATCTGGCACCCGCCAACCCTGCTGGCTGGCCCCTGGTGCCAGGGCCTTCACTCATCCAGAGTGGGGACTGGACATCCACAGAGACAGGTGCTGTTATGCGTGATTAAAGAATGAATGAATGACCCAGAGGAATGTGTAAGCCAGACCCAGCTGTTGATTTAAAATACTAAGGTGTGATGTGGCAATCAGAGCCTGTGACACAAATTGTTTGTCTTCTCTTAAAAATATTAACTTGAGTCTGTGGGAGGTGGGGCCACACAGAGCCCTGGTTTGGGAAGGCAAATTTGATGGGACCTCAATGTTGCTGCATTCCAGCTGGCTAAAGGAATGCTAAGTCAACGCTTTTCTCTACAAAACCAATACAATGTTATTTGGTTTGTCATTTATCAATCCCTGAATAACTTGTTATAGGTAGAGGGATTTCTTTGAAATAGGCTGCTGGCTGCCCAGGAAGGCTCTCCAAAGAGTGTCTTTGTCCCAGCAGAGCTGCCCTATTCTAGGTCTGTTCTGGGCCTTGCACAACTTTGATATTTCATTCATCACAGAAAGGACCATATAACCAAACTCCCAAGATTGATAGATATTAATCAAGATCTTGATCTGTTACTTTACAATGAAAAATATAACTGGAAAGTTGATGAGAAATTCATATGAGCTGGGTAGTGTGTTCTTTTTTTTTTTTTTTGCTTTCTTTTTTCTTTTTTTTTAGAGGGCCTTCCCTTCTTTTGTACTGTATTGATATCCGTGAATTTCTTCTTTGTTCGTGGGGGTTGGGGGAGGGGGTTCCCTCCTTTCTATCCTTTATTTTGAAAGTGCATCTCTCCTATTTATTGACCAAATCGTTGCTATCAACAATAAAATTCTGTATAGGGGTCTCAATGCACAATCATTAATCTACCCCAAGCCTAATTCTCAACTGTCTTCAATCTTCTGAAGCATATCGAACAAGTTTTTACATGGTGAACAAGTTCTTACATAGTGAATAAGTTCTTACACTGTGAGCAGTTCAAGGGCAGTCATCACCGATAATTTCGGTTTTGATCACGCATGATGAACTATAAACAATCAGGTCAATTATGATTATTCGTTTGATTCCTATACTTGATTTACATACGAATCCCATATTTCCCCTTATTGTTATGACTAATATTTTTCATAAAATGGTGAAATTGTAGGTAGACGCAACATAAAGGTAGCCAACTTAGTTTACTGCTGTAAGAGGGCCAATGTAGGTAATCGGGTGTTTGCCTGCACACTAAGTATTAATCCAAGGTAGACAAGGGCCACAAGACACCCACAGATNTGGCTAACCAGTCATCTTCTGGGGCCATACAGGGAAATGTAAAGTTGGTAAGTGAGAGAGAAGCAATATTCTTGAAAAGGTTAGCTTTTTACTTCTTTGCTGGGTAGTGTGTTCTTATTGCTTTAGGAAAACATGTGTGGGAAACTAATGTTTAAATCACAAATTGTATAATGGATCCAAATGAAGAGAAAGGGGGACTGGTATCATTGATTATAATTGACCATGATTCTGATGCTCTATTTCTCTCTTTTCCCTGAGCTGCCAAGCAGACTGGATATTTGTGTTCAGGGGCCCTGGATGGAGGGACCCACTGAAAAGTCCTAGTGTTTTGACTTCCCACCTACAAGACTGCAATACAGCCAGTTCCTGGTATCCATAGGATTTCTTCAGAGAAGAAGAAAACTGTCAGGTCTCAAATTTTCATGCTAGTGTTATAATACAGCAAGATTTCTGTCATACTGTGTATCCTGGGTATCTTGAATGGACTTCAGTACTTTCGAATCCCTGCAGCTTGACATTTCCATGAATTAATTTCTACGTTTAACTAATCTCATCCATTATGCATTAACTCTTATTAATTTCATTCTTAGAAATGGTTACATTATAGGTTTTGGGGGATCTGGGCTTTCCTTCTAATATTAGTTACATAGTTTTGGGCACTCTGTCCACTGCCTCACTGCCTGTAAATACTAACTGATAATTATCCTTTTAAGCAGTGCTTTTCAGGCCACTGCATTAGTGTGTCATAAAATCAAATTAGTTTGCTGACTGGTGCTTTAAAAATTGAAATAGAATAGAAAATATCAGGATGCGTGGCACAGACTGGTAAATATTGTTTTGCATGCATTCTGTGTACTAAGTTGTGATGTAAATAAAATTTTTTTCTGATTCTGGGTCAAGGTTAAAACAATTTTATAAACCATTCCCTAGAATCCAGACATTCATCCTCTGCCTTTGAGAGAAAATGTTCTTTGTGAATGAAAATGTTAGAGAATTTATTTAAATAAACCCTTTGCTGTGTTATTGAGGGGACAGTATATACTCTGTGTCGGAGGCCTGCAGAAACGTCCTATATTGGAAAGTGTGTGACAAGAGCAACAGTTAAAAAATAGATGGCAAAGCATGTAAAGGTAACTGGGAGCTGGGACACCATTTGGGAGCAAAGGTCACAGACCTTTGGACACTGGATGGTCCCTGCTTCTCTGTTGCTCAAGATCCTTTTACTTTGGATCTTGGGGTTCCTGTCAGAAGAGAGCTGTGCCCGAATTTACTGCTTTCCATGTGAGATGCCTGCTCAGACTCAGCCAGGCAGAATAAATGAAGAGATTTTCATACAAAATTCTAATTTTCTTAGGAAATTGCCGCCATAAGCATAAAAATGCAGCATATCTTTGTATACCTAAAGATAAGCATTTGGCAAACTCTCTGAGGCACAAACACATTTTAATTTCTTTTCTCTGCTTTCCAGTTTATTTAATTCAGCTAATGTGTTTGTGGACAGGTGGTGCTGAGTACTTGAAAATGTCAGACTGCATTATCCACCCGCCCATGCATCCATCTGTTCGTGTGTCCATCTGTCCATCCATCTACCTGTGGATGAGCACCTATGTGCACTGTGCAAGCGGTCTTCCCTCACCGTGTTTCTGTTCACTGTCAGGAAATGTCAGGTTGGAAGGGAATTTAAGAGTTAGTTCATGTAGTTCTTATCAGACAATCGCATCTTTGTAGCTCTCCTGGCAGGTGACGATTCAGGCTTTTGCAATCTTGGGAATGCACCCCTCTGACTGGGAAAGTTCTTTCCTGTGTTAAACTGAAAACTGTTTTCTCTGGCCCCCTTCAGAAGCCTCTTGCCTGAGCCCCATACAGCTGAGGATACCAACGAGCTCCTACTTGCGCATCCCAATTCTTGAGCCAGTTCTTCAGTTGGCTGGTTTCTGAGCTAATCTTAAACTAGCCTGATGGCACTTTAGGATTTGCAGCCCCATCAGAGGATGGAATCAGGACCATGACTGGTAAGTCTAAGGCAAGCCCCCATTCCAAGCTTCACCTTCAAGCTCCTGCTCTGGGGCTTTTGCTTTTATGGTTTTGGGTGGTCACTCTAGGATCCCTCTGGGATTGATATCCCACTCTGAATCTCCCCCTAACTGGATCCCTGACAACCATTCAGTCTTTTCCTCTTCATCTATCCCCAGACATTGGATGGATAGGATTCAACCCAAATGTCCTCCTCCTGGCACTATGATGCCCACTGTGTCACTGCACATTGGGTACTGATGCTATCCAAAACTGAGCCTGTGCTAGCCATGTACCTTTGAGCATTCTAATCTGGATTCTTGGTTTCTTTCCTGGAGGCCAGTCCTAATGCCAGAGGAGTCCCACAGCTCTGGCCTTCTCTTCTGGATTTCTCTGCCTCATCTTATATTTTAAGGTTCCAGCCTACTTCTCAGTGAGTCTCTCCAACTTACACATATCGGTTCTAATTCTAGCCCTTATGACTGCCCTTCTTATATTTGAAAATGTGTACTGTTTCAGTTTTCTCTTACTTTCTTACAGCCCAATCTCTTGGTGGCTCAACACAATGACAACAATCTTTTTTGCTAATGATCTTGCCATTTGGGAAAACTCAGTGGAGGAAAGCTCATTTATGCTCCATTTGGCATCAGCTAGGGTAACTCGATGATGTAAGAATCTACTTCCAAGTGGGTCACTTACATGGGCTGGAAGGGAGCTCATTTGGGACTGGGTACCTCAATTCTGCTACATGAGGGACTGTCCTTGTAGCTGCTTGAGATTCCTTACAACATGGTGGCTGGGTTCTAAGAGAGAGGAAGTGGAAGCCCACCCCGCTTCTTAAAGACTGGCTGTGGACCTGGCATAGGATCACTTTCTCTGCATTCTCTTGGTCCCTTCAGTCTTCTCTTCTCTAGGCAAAAAGCCCTTATGTCTTTCCCAATACTTATATGGCATATTAATCCAAATCTTATCAATATGCAAACATTTATTTTGAAAACAGTAATTATGCGAGGAACTGAGATAAATGCTGAGAATGCTGAGATGACTAGGACATGGACCCTATCCTTAAGGAAACTATAGATTAGAAACATACTGTTTTTTTCCTCCTCTGATCTAGTTTTAATCTCCCCAACTCCCCAGCCCCACCAAGCATCTCATCAAGAACTTAGGGCAGTATTTTAATGTAAGTCTATTACAGACAATAGAATAAGATTTTCACCTCCTTTCTATTAAAACATATATCTTTCTTGATGCAACCCATGCTTTCTTAAGAGTTACATTTCATTTTTTACTGAGACTGAACTTATTATTGATTATGACCCTAGGGCTTCTTTTTCTAATATCTTGTTGGTTTGGCAGGGCACTTTTGTCTTGTATTTGGAAAGCTGTTTAGATTCACTTTGGCTATTTCATAGATGCCCTTGTAAAGTTTCATCTTGTTAGATCTAAAGTTCTGCACAAGTCTGTCAAAATAATTTAGATCCTTATCATCTCTAGTCTAACGGCAATATTCAATCAACACAAAGTTGTTGGCTGATGGCTGTGTCCTTAGGTGTTCAGGCAAATAATCGGTAAAAATGTTGAACAGCCTGAGTATAGAACCTTGTGATCTGCCACTGGAAACCAAGGACGATGCAAGAATCATCACTCAATTCTTCAGTTGCAGCTAGCCCATAAAACTGCATTTGATCCAACAGCATTATCATGGAAAATCTCAAATATTCTGTTTAGGCCCAAGTACTTTGCATCTACTATATTCTCAGATATTGCAACCCACCAGTCCTGCTGAAGAAGGAAAACCTGTCAAACAAATATGAATTTTCTTGATGAAAATGTATTGGGTCCCTATTGGCCTCCAACTTTTTTAAGGCTCTTACAAAGAAATCTTTTTTGTGTTTTGGTTATTGCTTTTTTTTTGAAAATTAGTTTGAAGTATAATTTATGTACAATAAATTACATTCATTTGAAGTGTACAATTGATGAATTTTGACAGAATTACAGATAGACCCTTGAAACCACCATCATGACTGGGACATAGGACGTTTCCACTGCCTGCCAGTGCTCCCTCATGCCCCCTAGCTACTCCTCTCCTCCATCCCCAGTCCTCAGGCAACCACTGAGCTCTTTTCTGTCTTGGTAGGCTACTTGCATTTTCTAGAATTTCATATAAATGAAATTACACAGTATGTACTTTTTGTGTTTGGCTTCTTTCACTCAATATAATGATTTTGAAATCCATCCATGTTGTGGCTCTCTCAGGAGTGTGCTCCTTTTTATTGCTGAGTGATGATCTGTTGTAGGGATACAACACATTATGTTTATCCACTTCCATGTTGGTGGACGTTTGTTTCTTTGGCTATTATGAATAAAGCTGCTTTGAATATTTATGTACAAATCTTGCATGGACATGTGTTTTCATTTCTGTTTGGTACCTGGAACACTTCTCCCTTTTTGTTTTTGGTTTTTCTTTGTCACCAGACTCTTCCTGACTAGAATTAACATCACCATCCTGTGGTTTTTAAAACCTTACTTGTGTCCTATTTTGGAAATTGCTGCAAAAGTTATCCTCCTCCAACCTTCTGGCATATCTTGACAGTCCTCAAAAACTTTTGCTTTATAAATTCCCTCAATTCTTGGAATATGGCTCATCCATTTAGAGAATTTATTCTCTTTTAGCTAGCAGGTTTTGGGGTAAATATTAAGCACTTAAAATGTGTGTCAAACTATGCACTTTATGTACATTATCTAATTTTCCATTCACAACAGTCATAAAAGAGGCATACTATTTTTAATTTTTAACAGATGAAGAGAGAGAAGCATAGGGAGGTGGAGTGACTTGCCAAAATTATGACAACTGGGGACCTAAGGTTTGAAGCTGTGTGTTTCTTGCTGGAGCTGAAGGCCAAGCCATTTCACAATATAAGACAGTGGTGATTATGATTAGAGCACTGGGCATACAGTGTGATGAGTGTTTATAAGAAAGAATGATTACTCTGGGTGAGGAAAACAAGGAACTTCCTTGACAAGGAATAGATAAAGTGGGTCTTGAAAGCTGGGATTAATTTGGACATGGTTAAGTACAGACAAAATGATTTAAAATTCTGATGGACAGGAAGAATAAGCAAAGGCCCAGAGGCAGGAATGGGAGTAACATCTGGCTGCCTTAATGCAGAGATGGACTGATGGAAGCCAGGGGCAAAGTGGACCTGTGACTAGGGATGGTGGGCTGACTGGTCAGACCAACACCAGCCTTTGAATGACAGGGTAGGGAGGTGACCTTGACTATAATTGTGACCTTTGACATGAAATGTTCAGGATGTGGTTCAAGATTAATATGATGGTTTTAAATGGATCAATGCAGAATGACAGTAAAATTAGGAAAGCCAATTAGGTATCTGCTGTACTTAAAATACAAAACAGACCTGATTCAAGATGGCAGCATGAGAGGTGAGACAGAGAACTCCTCCCCAAACCACATACATTATGAAAATATAGTTAATACAACAAATCCTAAAAGAGCAACAGGAAAGAAGGCTGCCCCGAACTGCATATACATGGAGAAAAGAGCAGACATCAAGAAACAGGGTAATGTACCAAAGCCTTGATCCAGCGGGATCCAAGCCCTTCCACCACCCCAGCTCACTGGTGGGAGGAAGGGAAATGGAGCAGGGAGGTGGTGGAAGCCTAGGACTGCTGAACACCTAGCCCTGGAGATCTGCTATGGGAGCAAATTCCTACATTGCATGGTGTTCTGGAAATTAGTGGGGTGGAAAGCTACGACAGGCAGAATATTTGGAGAAACTGAAATTCAGCCATTTGTGGAGGACAAGAATCCACATTTGGCTGCTCTGGGACAAAGGAAAAGTGAGCATTCTGAGAGGCTTCCTAGCAGCAAGAGGGCTGCTGAAGGGGCGGGATTTGCACGGAGCTTGCTGCACAGGGGAAGGGATAGGTGGACAAGGTTGTCTGGGTATGCTTTGCTGGGCAGGTTGGGAACTTTCAGGAGCTTCAGGAGCTCCATCCCCCTAGCTGGCTACTCAGCTCCAAGGTCCCACACTGTGATGTACAGCCTGCTG